TCTCTGAACAATTGCCATGATCCCAACGCTCTTCCCTTGGCATCACTTTCTGGTTCTGATTTCGAGGGAGAATATGTAGAGGAAAATTGGTCAGATTGCACATTTGTCGAGATATGATCATATGTTTTCTGGGTTGGCGTTTTCCCGCGATCGATGCTCCGAACTACACCGCGATTATTTTTTTGTGAGTGGTTTTGGTTTTCCAAGAAACGTTCATTGTTGCCGGGACCATGTAACATTGATCTGTAGGTTGTAAGATGTTTATCCAATTTATGATCTGAGTCAGATGTCTGCGTAAAAACATCTTGGCTTTCATATACTTCTTCCTGTTCTTCGTCTTCTTTTTGCTTACTCTTAGATAAAAGCACTTCGTATACAGGTAAGCTAAAGCGTCCCACACTGTGTTTATTATCTTCATGGACCCGAGCGTTTTGATCATGTGTCGATGCCGATCTACGGAATAGATGGTGTTGTTGTTTCTGATGAAGAGTATAAACGTCAATGAGGTAACTTTTTTATAAGAAATAATAAACCCGTTGAGAAGTACCTGTAAGGAAGGAAAAACATGTTGTAAAGGTCTTGCTCTCCGCATTCCTGCACCATTACATTGATTTGTCTCCAAATCTAGAAAAAAAGGAGTATTCATAAAAAACCTTTTTTATTCATAAATTAGTAAACAAAAAAAATCGACTTACCTCGACTATCGTCCATGTCTGTTTCAGACGAAGATACATTGAAAGTAGGAAAGGTAGAGTTACTCATATCGCACATTCACGAGAATATTGAGTATAGTTGAAGAAGCGGTGATTATTTTAATGATCAAATAATAACGATGGGTCCGCCGACAAGACTACCAAGAAATATGCGAATCACATGGGAGCGATGTCATGCGTTTTATTTCAAAGAAATGGCGGCCGGCTAAATGCCGAGCTTAATCTTGATTGGTTGATTGTTGTAAATATGCACGATCTATTTCGGGGTTAAATCTATTTCGATACTCGATCATGTGCCCGATAAAAACCACATCGCTCTCTTTATTATTACAAATAAAAATACAGTATAACCATCTATATCATTTATATTCTAAAAATACGCGCTTTTTTTATGCTCATTAGATCCTGATGTTGCATCATGCATGAAAAGTTTCCATGACCTTCGATTTTATTCTGTGATATATGTATTACGAAGTAATGACACCTCATGTGCCTGATCGAACGTCTACGCAATTGATTTTTCAGGCATAACGACATTTTTATTAACTTGGCAATAACAAAAATAATAATTCGAATGATTCATTTTATTTAATGATTTAATCAAGCGAAATAGCGAAGCTAGCACGGCTAAGATAAAAATACATGAATAACAATAAATAATATTGTTTTCTTACGGTAGAGTTGCAAGGGAGAGAACGTACAGCCCCTAGACCATTATTATACGTCCCTTTACTTTGGCTCTACCAAGTTGAAAACCTATTTATTGTTATTATAATTTATTCCATCATCGGTATCATCGCCATTAACTTCATTAATATTATTATTATCGTTGAACTTATAATAAAGATAGTTTACATTAAAATAATCCTAATACTAAGGTTCACCGTAACGTTATGTTACATACTTGCGAGATAAGCAAAAAAATTTTAGGGGGATCGTCCAATTTTGGGGTTCTTTGACGGGATTTATATGATGACGGGATTTATATACGACATATATTCCTTGCTTTCTGGGTCTTACACAAATTTACTTTTGTAATTCCCAGAAGATGTCTGATTGTTTCCCATGTCTATATGATTCATCTTCAAAGAATAATGGATCAATATTAATATATACCATCTTTCCCTCACTTTTTGATGTGGTCAGGTCTGTTCATTAGCCCAACCTTCTTGACAAGAATATTTGTTGAAGACTATCTCCAGTGTATAAAACAAATAATAATACAGTAATTAGTTTTGAATGTAAACATTAAGCATATTAATATGAAATAGATTTTTCACTATATGTCATCATGTAATAGGTAAAATAAAAAGCTGTGTACCATCAACACATACCAAATCCTTGTGAATAGTTTTGAGTTTATGTAAATACAATAGCCCATCAGTAATTCCCAAAGCCAGCTTGTATTTGTCCTTCAATTGCAGCCAGCTCATGAAAGCATTCCTGCAAATGTTCACACAATGTTCCACCATCTGCATATTCAAACACCATGTAGTAGGGACCAGATAAATCTGTTTTATGATATAGAATAGAATAAGATATAATTATTAAAAAGTAATATCTACTATAATTCAGTTTATGACTTTAAAGCCATGCAAATAATCAATAAAGTAGACACACCTTTTTTACAAACTCTTTATACAGCTCTTCTTCACATCCCCACCAATTGAGAATCAAAGTTTTCATTGCAACTGGTTTTCCAGAATGCTTTATCTTTGCCTTGTATACAACACCATATTAATATCCACCATGAGCAATAGGTGTACAATCTAGGATGACATCTTCTGAATAGTGTTTGATAAAACCTTCTTAGCTAACCACTCCCTAGATGATTGACCTTGGTTAATGCTCAACTATTACTATTTATTGCACAAGCAATACAATCACACGTTGTGTAACGCGTAATACAAAGCATCACCATTTACACCATAGCATCACACAATCAAGACTTTCCATGTAACATGCCATTTTATCTGGAAAGGCAATTCCGTTTCTGGCTGGAGTACTATTTAAAACTTTTTTGAACAGGTTGGATTTCAAAACTGAGGTGCTACCCACATATACACCTGCCTCTGGACAGCATCCACCATTGAACAAATGATTTTAGCCCAGAATGTTGCAGAGTTCAAAGTTCTTTTCTCATCCATATTCCTCAAATACATATCATGACAATCAGTCATGTACAAATGCACAAGACCAGAAGATCATTGGGTTGTACCTTATCATCCACAAACACTGTTAGCCTGGAATGCACACATGACACATGAGTGCCCAATATGTTACAACAAAAGGATTTGCCTGTTACATGACTAAGTATATCACCAAAGTTGAACCTGCCCACTTGTTTGACATATCTGAAGGAGATCACTATCATCAATTACCTTCCAGTAAGCCTCCCATGTTATAATCAAAGACTGTCTGACCAAAACATCTAATCTTCTTAAACCCAAATGATCCTTATTACAAAGATGCCATTGAAAATATATCTGCTGACCTTTAACAGAAGAGTCTGTTATAGTGATTGCTACCATACTATGAAACCAAATCACCAAATCAAAAGCAGGAACTGATCTAAATGGACAGACAATATTAATTAGAATGTGCTTTCTAAAATTGTCAGATGACAAACCATATTTCTATTACCTACTATTTATTGGAGACACATCTATGGAGATCAGAGGAAGAACTTCTCTCTACATACTGAGAACACTATCTCTCCTTATTTCAAATAAAGCTGAACAATTCCAAAATAATGTGAGATCTTACATAATGCAATAAAAATACAACTCATCTTACAATCAGGAGTGGCTGCTCAACGCATTGGTGGTAAAACCATACATTCTGAATTGAAAATTGCATCAACAGACAATACTGGTGGCACCACTTCACATTGATCTTTCCAAAAAAGAAATTTAAGACAAACTATGTACATTATATCAATGGGCAACATCACACTGCAACATCACACTGCTGCAACATCATAGAATACATACAAATACACACAAATATATCATTTTTTGAGTACTAGTACCATCATTAAAATGTTCATATAACTGTCAGGGGACAATATAATTATTATATAGCAGATGCATTATTTTAAATACAAAAGTCAACATCACCATGGAAACCTACATACCCTCAATAGTACCAACTTCATATCAATTGACCATTTTAAAAAAGATGAAATTGTAGAAGTAGAAGGGAGCAGTATACAGTCATCCCTCATTTGTACCCCATTATATCCCACCCTTGGATATAACCCATCTTTCAAAAAGAACAAAATTGGCATAAATGCAAATCATGTGATGTAGAACAACAACATATAGAATGCCAGCTAAGGCAGGACAAAGAAGAGATACTGCATCTAAAAAAAATGAAATGCAGCAAAGGGTTTTTTACAAATTTTTGAATCCAATACTTGTTATCAGGATCCTCAATGTCATCAAGATGATCTAGTGAATTTTTGTCCAGCCAGTGGCTCCAGCTGCTGCGTTTTTGGATGGCTGTTCATGTTTTTTGTAAGTTAGCATTTTTGTACAATAAGCATCGGCACCAGCAAGCTTTTAGTATACCATAATACAGTGATAATTGTTTATTTCACTTTATCATAACCAATACATCATAATCAATAAAAACTGTAACATTTGCATGATAAAATTTACTTAGCTCATTTTGAGCCTGAAACAATCAATGAATTAACAAAGTTCTGGTAGCAAATGAGTATTTCTTGGTTTTATGTCCTCCTGAAATTTCTTGTAGGTCTCATTCACTATTCATAATAGTAATAGGTGATTTAGGTTATAACTCATCTATCCTTGTCAAGCATATCAGTCACACTTATATGATATTTTTTGAGATATTAAATATCCTCAATTGTGCATGTTAGGATCCATGCTTTTCCAATCAGTTCCAGTTAAGCATTTGGGTGAGCTACATGAAGACTAGGTGTAACAAAAAAGCAATGGGAAAATAGTATTGTTTTGAAAAGGAAAGCTACAGTATGTGGATTGTCAATTACTTCTGACTATTTCTTTTTTTATGTTCAATTCTTCCTCTTATCTTGCATGTTTAGTAAAGACAAGCACTTAGAAGAGAATATAATAATAACATATATATATATATATATATATATAAGTACGAGTCAGAATATATTAACCAATAAATTTCTCGTGTTACTCAATTAATACATATATGGTATATCCCAGCTTCTGATATATCCCCAGAAAGTCTCCACTCCAAAAACAGAGGGATGATATATATTTATTTAATTAAGATGCTCAAATACTATTGAAAAAATTTATCTATTACTATTGTTGTTTGTTCATTACACTCACTGAAATAATGAGGATTCGTTGGAAACTTAAAGTTTACTTTATTGAAACTTGAGTTTATTTCTGATGTTCATCTAACAGTTTATATATCTTTGAATGATTATTATCTTGTAAGGGTTTAGTTATCATTACTATAACGATTCGAATAAAGACATGGCAGATTCTGATAGGCCTTTGCATTATTTGATGATAGTTTCTTTAAGCGCCTATTAATAGCAACACAATGATTACGAAATTCTTTATCTGTTACTGAAATTGAGACAAAGATTCAGGATAAAGATCTCGATTCACTTGGCCTGACAGAAATTGAATTTCTTTCAGGCATATCGATAACGTTTATTAATTGACGGACGTAAACAACGCATTGCCCTCTTTGTACACATCCAACCGTCTCATTTGTCCTACAATAAAGATATCCAATGTAACGTAAAGTGCAGATCACATGAAAAATCACGGGCGTGCATTTAGAGAGAGTGGAATACATATGATGGGAACTGGAAAAAAACGTGCAATCCATTTATGGAGGGTGTGCAATTATACCAAGCTTGTGAATAAGGTAATGCGTGCATTTATGGAGGGTTCACTGTACTTTCTGAATTAATTGTACGGTTTATTTCAACCGGTTTGGCCGGCGTAGTGTCGTTCGATAATTCTTCATTCAATCCATATACGAGAGGTTTGTGTTGAATATAGTGCGTGGTGGGAAGGTTAGATGGGC